TATATATATATATTTTTGAGTTGCTGGGATTGAACCCAGGATCTTATATGTGGTAGGCAAGTATTCTATCACTATACCTCCCAGTCCTTTACTTATGTATCTGCAAAACAGTTTTTTGGCTTAAATAAGACTTTCATATTGTGAAAAATAAGTGAAATAATAGGAAATTACTCTAAAAAGCATAAAACACTAAAAGTGTATTACTATTAGGAAAAGTTAGTATTCAATCAGCTATATACCATGGCAGGAGGTTTTCTTGTCAATCCCCTTTGTAACAACATTAACACTTTTATTTTCTTGCAGTTGGAATACAAAACAGTGAATTATTTCCACAAAAATTTCACACAAATACTTCTCAAAGACTTAGATATATATTCTATTATTATTATTATTTTATTCATTATTGCTGAGGATTAGCCCAGGGCCTCATACATGCTATACATGTTCTACTACTAAGCTATACCCTCAGCCCCTACTCTGTCTGATTTCTAGGAGAAATCCCATCTTCATATAATTTTATTTTATTTTTTTCTTGTAGATGGCCAAGATCTCCACTTAAAGTGGTAGAAGTCTTTAAGTGTGGAATATTGAGCAGGAGCTTTGCCATTGGCTGGTTGAGAAGGAAGAGGCAGAATGTCTGCATTGTTACACCATAGAGTTCAAACTTCAGAAGACTTGGGTTAAGCAGTGTCATTTACTCTGTAAATGATCATGCCTTCACTTATCCTCTCTGATCATCCCAAACTAATGAAACACACTTTAGGTTTTTTGAATTCAGGTTATGCTGTTTTCCAGATGCCCTGGCAGCTCGTTCAGGTAGGATTTGGTTCAGTTTTGGGGTAATGGTAAAAAGAAAATAACCTATCTTTCCTGTTTTCTAATTCTTGCTGTTTTATGTAAACATCTGTTCCCAGCAAAAAATAGGTTAACTAGCCAGACACGGTAGCATGCACCTATATCCAAGCTATTCGGGGGGGCTGAGTCAGGAGGGCCACAAATTTGAGCCCTACCTGGACAATTTAACCTTGTTTCAAAGCATTTTTTTAAAAAGGGCTGGGGATGTAGCTCAGTGCAAAGGTCCTAGGTTCAATCCCCAGTACTCCAAAAAAAAAGTAAAAAATTTTTAAAAAGACTTTGGTTGCTACAGTAGGATTTATAAAAAAACAAATACGGATATGAAAAGCAATGTTTCATTCACTTCTGTTTTAAAAAATAAATTTATGTGTAGAAAAAAATAAATTTATGTTGTTTAGTGTTATGATGTGAAGCTGTTGGATAGCTTCTTTACTTTCTGTATTAAATAATCATAAGTGATTTTTTTTTTTTTTTTTGTTTTTTTAGAGAAGGTCTTACCATGTAGTTGAGACTGACCTGGAACTCACTATGTAACCTAGAACCTAGGCTAGTCTCGAACTCACAGTGATCCTCCTGCCTCACCCTTTTGGGTGCCAGGACATGCGCCACCACACCCGGCTATCATAAGAGATTTTTTTTAACTGTGTGTGTGTGTGTGTGTGTGTGTGTGAATGTGTACTCATGCTGATGGACTTGTCTTTCTAGGGCCTGTGAAAAATGGAACCAAACTCTCTGAGGACTAAAGTCCCAGCTTTCTTATCTGATTTGGGGAAGGCCACTTTGAGGGGGATCAGAAAGTGTCCCCGATGTGGCACATACAATGGAACCCGGGGACTGAGCTGTAAGAACAAGACATGTGGGACCATTTTCCGCTATGGTGCACGAAAACAGCCTAGTGTTGAAGCTGTCAAAATCATTACTGGCTCAGATCTGCAGGTCTACTCAGTTCGGCAGAGAGACCGGGGCCCTGATTACCGATGCTTTGTGGAGCTAGGTGTGTCAGAGACGACAATCCAGACCGTGGATGGGACTATCATCACTCAGCTGAGCTCTGGACGGTGTTATGTCCCCTCCTGCTTGAAAACTGCCTCCCAAGGTGTTGTAGAAAACCAGTGCCAGCATATCAAGCTGGCAGTGAACTGCCAGGCAGAGGCCACCCCGCTGACCCTGAAGAGTTCGGTCTTGAACGCCATGCAAGCCTCCCCAGAAACCAAACAGACCATCTGGCAACTGGCCACAGAACCCACAGGTCCTCTGGTACAAAGGATTACCAAAAACATCCTGGTGGTGAAATGCAAGGCAAGCCAGAAGCATAGTTTGGGGTATTTGCATACATCTTTTGTGCAGAAAATCAGTGCCAAGAGCTTGCCTGAGCGTCGCTTCTTCTGCTCCTGCCAGACTCTGAAATCGCACAAGTCGAATGCTTGTAAGGATGACACAGCCCAGAGATGCATTCATTTCTTTGCTTGTATCTGTGCCTTTGCCAGTGACGAGACATTGGCTCAGGAATTCTCAGACTTCCTTAATTTTGATTCTAGCGGTAGGTGGTATGATTGATACAGTTACTGTTTTTCTAAAATGGCAATGAAAGGGTTCCTCTGATGTTTTTAGAGGTGGCCCTAGAAACCTTCAGAAACAGTTGCTAGATGATGATTCAGGTGAAAAGCATTCTTTCTTTTTTGTTGTTATTTTTTATTTATTTATTCATTTTTTTTCCTTTTTCTTTTCCTTTTTATTGAGTTTATTGGTACATTCTAGGTATACAGTACAGTTACATTCATTACTGGGATCTTGTACCTTCACATGAAGGTCTTGGTTCTCATTTTTTCCCTTTGTCCCTGCCCTCCCTTCACCCCCTCCTCCCCTCCCCATTTACAACCACTTTATTTCCATTTTTTCATTTTCTCATACTTTTTTCTTTTCCCTTATTCCCTTTCCCCTACCCTTCCCACTTTCCCTACACCTTTAGACCTTTTCTTCCTATTTATTCATTTTTAAGCATTCTTTCTTTTAATCCCAATCAGTACATTTGCATTAAAGTTGGTGGTTGGTTGGTTTGTGGTTGGATTGTTGAAATTAAAAATCAAGAGACTTGGACATTTTTATTTATTATTTATTTTTTTGTTTATTTTTGAGACAGGGTCTCACTTGATAGTTGAGTCTGGCCCTGAACTCATTAGGTAGCTCAGGCTGGCCTTGAACTTTTGGTAATCCTGCCTCTGCCTCCCAAGTGCTGGGATTACAGGCATGAGCCACCATGCCCATCTCGGACATTTTTATTGAGATAATGAATCTAGCAAAGTTAGCTTTACTTCTAGCTTTACTTCAATTTTGTTGTTCCACAGATGGCCTATATTAACAAAAACAAATCCCTTTTATTTTGTTTTATTTTTTATCTCTGAGGATGGAAAAAACTAGCACCTTGCTCAAAAGACCTTAAAGTTTTCTTCATTGAGTCCTTTGTTGTCATTGACATATTTTTGTCTTGTAGGCACCTTATTTGTGGGGGAGGTGGTGGTACCCAGGACTGAACCCAGAACCTTCACACTAAGCTACAATCTCAGCCTTTTGATTTGTTTTGTTTTGGTTTTTATTTTGAGACAGGCTCTTGCGAAGTTGCCCAAGTTGAGCTCAAATTTGCCATCCTCCTGCCTCAGCCTCCAGAGTGCTGGGATTATTTTTGTCCTTATGGATTTTCTTTATTGTTTTTTTTTTTTTTTTTTTTTTTTTTTTTTTTTTTTTTTTTGGTTTTTTGAGACAGGGTCTCACTATGTAGTTCAGACTGCCCTGGAACTCACTGTGTAGCCCAGGTTGGTCTGGAAGTCACAGCAATCCTCCTGCCTCAGCCTCCCGAGTGCTGGGATTACAGGTGTGCGCCACCACATCCAGTTTTTGTTTTGTTTTGTTTTGTTTGTACCAGAGATAGAACTCAGGACCTTGAGCTTGAGATATTTTTTAAAAATTAAGTAATTTTAAATTAAATTTAATTTAATTTTTGTTGGTACCAGGGATCAAACTCAGTACCTTTCACTTGCTAGGCAGGCGCAGTGTCACTGAGCTAAATCCCTCAGCCTTTGTTTTCCCTTTTTTTTTGGTAGAGCTAGGGATTGAACCTAGGCCTTGAACCATGGAGCCACATCCCCAGCCCTTTTTCTATTTCTTTTTTTTTTTCTTTTTCTATTTCTTAATGATCTTTATTTTAACTGGCATCAGCTCCTAACTTTTTAGTTTTGCATTACTTTATAGAGCCTTCTATCTAGTTAATGATCTTATGAACAAAACCACATGTTTTATTTTGGGGATTTAAAATTTTATAAATGAAATTTTCTCTAGATGGGGCCCTTATTTTTGCTATAGATTTATTTATTTATTTATTTTTATTTGGTTTTGTTTTGAGACAGGGTCTCACTGTGTAGCTCAGACTGGCCTTGAATTTGTGGTTGTCCTCCTGCCTCAGCCTCCTGAGTGCTGGGATTATAGGTATGCACCACCATGCCTGGCTCATCTTTGGATAGTATTACTAATTCACAAATCTTTTATTTTTCAGGTCTTAAAGAAATTATTGTGCCCCAATTAGGTTGTCACTCAGAGTCATCTGTATCAGCTTCTGAGTCTACTGCCTCTAAGCCAAAGAAGAGGAAAAAGGGTGAAGTATCTGGTGAGGGGCTGTTTTATATGTATGTTTGTTTGTTTTTTGATGATCTGTCTTTGAAAATTGTTTTATGTTTTTCCCTGAATCTCAGCAATTATAAAATGTAATTTTTGTTCTTATGGGTTTTGTTTTTGGTTTATGCAGTGCTGGGGATTGAATCTAGGGCTTCACACATGCTAGGCAAGTATTCTACCACTGAACTATACCCCTAGCCCTTCTTACAGTTTTCTTTTTTTCTGGAAATGTTTTACTTCCATTGATGATTCTTTGTGAAGTTAAAAGTTAGTTCTGATGTAAAATAAGATGCATCCAAATTCCACTTATATTACGTGTATGTCTGTTTATCCTGTAAGCCTTAATCTGCCTTAGGATGGTATTGTGAAGTTTTCTTTCATAAAACACTTAAAAAAAACCTTGTGGGTTATAAGTGTAGTTCAGTGGTAGAGCACATGTTTAGCATTCATGAGACCCTGGGTTTGATCCCCAGCACCAAGTAACTTATGATAATAGTTATATTTCCCTATAAGTTCTCAAGTTTGAGGCCAGCCTGGACTACATAGTGAGACCCTGTGTCAATAAATAAATTAATAAGAATACAGTTTAAAAACATTTAAATATTCAGTATTAGTGTCAGTTAAAGACTAATATAAGTCAATTTGAAAATGCTAAAGTACCTTAGTAGTTCAGTGTCAAGATATCTAGACTCTAAACAGAATGAAAATATTACCTGATCCGCATGGATGGGTCAATCTCCAAACTCCCTGGTAAACAGAGTAGTGAAAACATTTTAGAAATACAAAATTAAAATAACTTTTGCTACCAAGTTAGGAAAGAGTTTTCAAATGATGAGACCATAGGCAAAGGTGAAATCCTGTCTCTTGGTCATGGCTAGTATTGTATAAATTGCTATAACCATTTTTAAAAATAGCTTGTGTCTGGGCATGGTGCCACACACCTGTAATCCCACAATTTGGAAAGCTGAGGCAGGAGGATCACAGTGAGTTCAAGGCCAGCCAAAACTACATAGTGAGACCTTGTCTAAAAAAAATGCAGCATGGTTTTGCACACTTGTAATCCTAATACTTGGAAGGCTGAGGCAGAAGGATCACTGTGAGTTTTCAGGGGTTTGTTTGTTTGTTTGTTTTTTGTACCATGGATCAAATGTTGTGATTGCAGGCAGGCGGCAGAGAGCTAAATCCCTGGCCTGTGAGTTTGCAGGTTTGAAGTCAGCCTGGGCTACATAGTGAGTTCAAATTCAGCCTGACGTACATAGTGAGACTTTGTCTCAAAAAACAAACAAACAAACAAAAAATCCCAAACAAACTTGAGTTATCTGTTAAGAACCTTAAAAACAAAACAAACAAACAAACAAGAAAAACCCAAAAAACACCTTAAAATGGTCAGGTGTTATGGTACATACCTGTTACCTTAGGCTGGAGAAACTGAGACAGAAGGATCATGAGTTTAAGTCCATCCCAAGCTACATAGCATGACTCTGTCAAAAAAAGAAAATTTAAAATGGTGCTCTGATAGGAAAATGGTAAAAATGGATCAAATGGTCATGCACTGTGGTTTTGGTGCTGGGAAGCTGGAGAAAGATGGTAAAACAGTCATTGTTATTTTGTTGCTGTAGAGAAGCAATTTCAGCAGCAGCAGAGCACAAATTACTGTTAAATATTCACTTATCCATCTTTTCCAGGAATTCCATTTCTTTTTTTTTTAATTGAGTTTATTGGTACTTTTTAGGTATACAGTACAGTTACATTCATTATTGGGATCTTGTACCTTTACATGACAGGTCTTGGTTCTGTTTTTCCCCCTTCTCCCCGTGTAATTCCATTCCTAAGTAATATTTTTCAAGGAAATAATCCTTGGTATAGAAAAAGCATTTTTAGGGCTGGGGATTTAGCTCAGTTGTTCTGCTGTCTGGCTCAGCACAAGGTCCTGAGTTTGGTCCCTGACACAAAGAAAGAGAGAGAGGGAGAGGAAAAGAGAGGGAAAGAGAGGAGAGAGAAAAAAGCATTTTTTCCAGAGATGTTCATTTTATGATTATATATAATACTATATTTTATATATTATAAATGGATATACTGGGTATAGTTAATGAACCATCATAAAGCTACTTTGCCATAGAATGATAGGCAGCTGTTAATATAAAGACAGAGCATCATGGCACATACTTGTAATCCCAGTACTTGAGAAGCCAAGGCAGGAGGATCACAGGTTCAAGGCCAGCCTGTAGTGATAGTGAGACCCTGTTTCAAAACAACAATAAAAAAGGAATTTGTGGAGACTTGGAATATAGCTCAATGGTAGAGTGCTTGCCTAGCATGCATGAGGTACTAGATTTGATACCCAGTGCCTCAAGAAAACAAAACAAAACAAAACAGCACTTGGAGGCTGAGACAGGAGGATTGCTTTGAGTTTGAGACAGCTGGGTCTACATAGTGAGTTCCAGGTCAGTCTCAACTATGTAGTGAGACCCTGTCTCAAAAAACCAGAGGAAAAAAAAAATAATATGGGGAAATATTTAGGCCATGCCAGTAGACAAACAAAGTTTAGAATGCTCAGTTAGCTGGCTATGGAGGCTCATGACAGTAATCCCAGCACTTGGGAGGCTGACTGAAGGATCACTGAGAGTTTGAGGCCAGCCTGGGCTACAGAGTGAATTCAAGGCTAGCCTGAACTACTACTTCCGAGACTACCCTGTCTCAAAATACCAAAGACCAAACAAAAACCTCCCCAAACAAAACAAAACAAAAATACTCTAAAATACTGTTAGGTACAAGATCCCAATAATGAATGTAACCGTACTGTATACCTGAAATGTACCAATAAACTCAATGAGGAAAAAAAAATGTTAAATTTGAATCTCTAATAAAAAACTAATAATTAGTATAAATACCTCCCACACAATATTTGGAACATACTTATTATACTAAAAAAATTGTTTACCTGAAATTCAAAATAATTTTTTTCTGACTGGCAACCCTGGCATAATTATAGATACTTAAAATAATGAAAACAGCAAAGCAAAGTATTCAGAGAAAAGAAAAAGGAAGGCAGGCAGCACATCAAAATTGGATAATGCCGCCCGGGGATTAGCTCAGTGGTTCCGCCACCTGCCTCGTAAGTGCAATGTCCCAAGTTCTAGTCCGGTACAAAAAAAAAAAAAAGAAAGAAAGAAAAATTGGACAATGGATGAATTTTCCTCTTTTCACTTCTGTTCCACACCTGCCACCAATTTCCAGTAAAGAGCATTAAACATTAAAATTTTATGTATAAAAGCTGATAGTGATTCCCTCTAGAATCTGTGAAGCCAACCTAGAAATTGGCAAAGACTGCTTATGTTTCAAATTCTTTAGATTTTAATATGAAATTAGTTTCTTTTCTGTGGACATGTTTTTAAACACCGTCATGATTTGTGTGTGATTTAGGTGCACAGATGAATAGTTCACTAATGCCTCAAGATGCAGTGAGCAGTAATCTAAGGAAGAGTGGCCTGAAAAAGCCTGTGGTTGCTTCTTCATTAAAAAGGCAGTGTAAGTTTCCCGTCCCTAGAATAGGCTACAGTGATGGTAAGTTATCCTAAATTCAGAAGCAAAATAATCAAAGAAATTCTGCATGTTGTCTCCCAGAGTGCTGCTAACAAACACTAGCAGCATGTGGGTTTATATAGCTGAGGTCTTTCTTGTCCCACCAGTTTCAAATCATGCTTAAAAATAAGTTATGTGTAAAATCATACAGTTGAAGAACAGATTAGTGGTTGCCAGGAAGTCTTACAATGGGATTGTTTTGTATCTTGACTGTGGCAGTCTTCATGTGTATTAAAATTACATAGAACTGTATGTACCCACACAACACATGAGTGCATGTGAAGCCAGTGAAATATGAGTAAGGGCACTGGATGTGTCCACATCATTTTTCTAATTGTGATACTGTAATATAGTTTTACAGAATTTAACTGCTGGAGAGATCTGGGTAAAGGGTACAAATACAAGCTTTGTATTTCTTACAATTTTCAATGAACATACAATTATCTCAAAAAATGTTAAACTACATTTTAAATGTCTTAAGAAATTAGTAAAAAAAACTAAATTATGTCTTTTTTGTTTTTGCAATTTTAGGAGTCAAACCTAGGGCCTTTTTCATGCTAGGCAGATGCTCTACCACTGAACTATACCCACTGCCTCTAAATTTTGTCTTGAAATCAAAATGTACCAAGAGGGGGATGGCCAGCATCTACAAGACCATAGGTTAGATTCTCACCAGTATAAAAACTAAAATTACTAACATGTTTTGACAGCAGGTGTCTTACAAGATAATGTTTCTTTTATTGCTCATTACTCTCAGTTGAAATGAAGATTCAAGTTTAAAAAATGTATACTATAATTATGCAATGAAAAATACCTGTTGAGAAATCAAGCACAGTGGTGCACATCTGTAATTCCAGCTACTTGAGAGGTTGAGGCGGGAGGATCATAAGTTCAGGATCACAATCCTGGGCAATTTAGTGAGAATTTGTCTCAAAGTAAACTGTAAAAATGCTGAGGAAAGGGCCAGGGATTTAGCTCAGTGGTGCCACCGCCTGCCTTGCAAGTGCAAGGTCCCGAGTTCGATTCCTGGTACCAAAAAAAAAAATGCTGAGGATGTAGCTTAGTGGTAGAGCACCCCGGGGTTTGATCCCCAGTACCACTACCAAAAAAAAAAAAAGTTAAAAAGACAAGCATAGTCTGCTCTCCAAAGTCAGTGAAGCTTGAAAACATATTTAAAAGCAAGGGTATAGATATTGTTCTGAATTTATCACAGAATGACTTAATTTGAATATAACTTATGTATTTAAATGTATCGCTTTTCTACTTAGAATAATTAAGCTTGTACATTTCAGAATCAATATTTTCTTAGCTCTCCATATAAATTGTATAAAGATAGCTAAGAGTGGTGGCACAAGTTTATAATCCCAGTACTGTGGGAGCCTGAGGCAAGAGGATCACAAATTTGAGCACAGCCTGGGTAATTTAGCAAGATGCTTTCTCAAAATAAAAAATAAAAAAGGGATGGGTGTGTAGCCCAGTGCAAAGCCCTGGGTTTGATCCCCAGTACCATCTCTACCACATTCTTCAGTTAAATATGGGCAGTACTTTTTGAGTACTTGCTATGATATGGCTGGCTGATTAAAAAGTAGACATTTGAATGGGCCAGGGATTTAGCTCAGTGGTGCCGCCACTTACCTCACAAGCACAAGGTCCTGAGTTCAATTCCCAGTACCAAAAACAAACAAAAAAAGTAGACATTTGGGGCTGCGGATTTAGCTCAGTGGTGCCATGCCTTTGCAAGGTCTGAGTTTGATCCCCGGTATCACACAGACAAAAAAAAGTAGACATTTGGCATGATGACACATGCCTGTAATCTTAGCACTTGGGTGGCTGAAGCAGGAGTATTGCTGTTTGAGGCCAGCCTGGGCTACATAGTGAGTTCAAGGCCAGTTTGAACTACATAGTCAGACCTTATCTCAAAGAAACAAAAACAAACAAAAAAACCCCACAAATGGTAGACATCAACCCTGTCCTCATTTTGAAGATAAGACCAATGCATATTATAATAATACAAACTGAACATTAATTATGTAGCTGGTCCGTTACACATTCTAGGTATATATTTGTGAAAGGTCAGGAAATAAACATATTGACAGTATATAAGATAGATTTTTAACATTTTCTTCACATTCTGTTGTTCAAACTACTTTGGATTTTCTACAGTCTACATTATTATACTCATTTACATATGTTAATTTGAGTTTCACATAAATAGTAGTTATGCCATATGAAGATATTTTACTTCTTCAGGCATGTCAAGACACTTTAGGAGAAAAATAGCCTAGAACTGTAGCTTGTGGAAGGTTCATGCGTTTGGAGTTGACGCAGGCCCAGACCCAGACCCAGACCCCTGGGTTAGAGCAGAGGGGCTTTAGATTTGGACTGGCCACTCAGTGTTGTGGAGTCCTTGGTCCCACAGCCTTTAACTCCCAACTATGCACTCTGACTCTACTAAATTCTACCACTTATTACTGTATTTCCCATTTACTACAAGAATTCACCTTTTCACTTGTATTTTTTTGTTTTTGTTTTTTGTTACTTTGGTACTGGAGATCAAACTCAGGTCCTTGCACTTGTGAGGCAGGCTGTGGAACCACTGAGCTAAATCTTACCAGCCCCTCACCTTTTCACTTTTATTTGATAATGAATTGTCATTCCTTTTGTGTTTCTGAATGCAGAGTTTTAGGGTTATATGTAAAGGTTTCATAGTCCATACTGAGTACGTTCATCATCTTTGTACTCAACCTTGACAGGAGACAAATAGCTTCATTACTGAGAAGGATTGGGCCTACAGCTACATTTCATCAGGAAAACAAGTAGTTTATAGATCTCCAAAACATCCATTATGTAAGGTCATTCTTCAGTTCATAGTTTACTGTTTAAAGGCTAATTTGGAGTTAAACATTTTAGTATCTAAGAGGTTTCATTTCTGTTTATTTATTCCCATACCGAGTATTGAAACCAGCACCTTCACACTTGAGCACCATCTCCAGCCCTTATTTTTTATTTTGTCTTTTTTTTGTTTTTTTTTTTTTTGTTACTGGGGTTTGAACTCGGGTCCTTGCGCTTGCAAGGCAGGCCACCGAACTGCTGAGCTAAATCCCCGGCCCCCTTATTTTTTATTTTGAAACAGTCTTTGTAAGTTATACCATCTGGGCTCCAACTTAGTCCTCTTGCCTCAGCTTCCCAGAGTGTCATTTATTTTTCTAAATGGATTCTTTTTTTTTCGAGAAATGTCTGTATTTAACTACCACAATCTACTCCATAAATATATAACTATTATGTGTCAATTAAAAAGAAAAAACAGTCTCAGAATCTAATTCACTTAGTTTATCTACTTTCTTTGTTTATTTCTTTTTTTTTTTCTATTTGTTTCTTTGTTTTTTTGTGTTTTTTGAGACAAGGTCTCTTTAGACTGACCTTGAACTATGTAACTGAGGCTGACCACAAGCTGTCAGTGATCCTCCTGCTTCAGCCTCCAAAGTACAGGGATAAGAGGTGTGTACCACCACACCCAGCCTATCTACTTGTCTTTGGGTTTCAGTTTCATATTCTCTTTTTTCTTTATACTTTAATTTTTTTCAAACTTCAACTGTTTATTCTGGAAAGAAAAAGTTACTGAAGAGATGTTTTTCTTTTCTAGCCTGTGGTCAGCTGTTAGACGAGGCACAAGTGACTTTGTCTTTTCAAGATTGGCTGGCCAGTGTCACTGAGCGAATCCATCAAACCATGCACTATCAGTTTGATGGTAAGTGTTGCTCTTCCAACTGGGCTCCTGCTGAAAAAATTAATCCTGCTGCTGTTCTATTTTGGTAAATAAATAAATAAAATTTAAAAATAAAGGTACTTCAGTCCAGAGAACATTGGATCACAGGAAACTAGAGAATAGAAATGAAAGCTGATAAAAAGGAATAATCACAATTATAGCATTACTTTAATTTTAAAGGATCAGCAAAATGAATTTAAAGATACAAGAGGGGAAAAAAGCAAATAATGAGTACAGATAGATTGTCTTAACCTTATGTATTCAATTCTATTTGTGTGTTTGGTGAAGGAGCTTTAGAAGATTATTGTAACTTCAAATTTAAAATGAAGTGAGAAGAAGCTAGGAGAAAATATAAACGTGAGATTAAGAAAGCTATAAATTACAGAGACATGCTAAGAAGCTGGGAGAATGCAAGCTAGATTTGATATGATTTGTTGTAGCTTTGTGGAACCTCAGTGATATCAAAGGGGGTTCATGAGCTGATCTTTGCCCATTGCTTTAAAACCGCAGTGGTACATACTCGTCAGACAGTTAAGGCAGGAAGATCATGGATTCAAGCCCAGGCTGGGCAAGTATGTGATTTAGGGGGATTGTATCCCACCCCCAAAATTAAAGAAATGGCTGGAGATACAGCTCAGTGGAAAGACCCTAAGTTCAATCCTTCATTATTACAAAAATTAAATTATTAAATAATTAAAAAATAAAAATACCTCTGCTGGGCATGGAGTTGCACCTTTGTAATCCCCACACCCTGGGAGGCTGAGGCAGTAGGATCACAAGGTCAAGGCTAGAAGAGCAATTTAGCCAGACCTTGTCTCAAAATAAAAAATTTAAAAAGGAGATATAGCTCAGTGATAGAGCTCTTGCCCTGGGTTCAATCCCAGACCAAAAAATAAAGCACCTCATGCTGAATAATTGACTGTAGATACTCAGTGGGAAAGGCAAATTTTAAAGGATTAGAACAGTTCTGACTTTCTGTTGAAGAGAATGATAAAAATGGAAATATTGCAACACATGTTCGCATACTAATTCAGAAGAGAGAAAACTTCAGAAATTACTTTTGAGAAAAACAAGCTAAGTAGGGCAAATCAAATTTTATTGTTTTTATTTGTTTGTAAGACTGAGGATTGAACCCATGCCCTTCACACCAAGCTATATCCTCAGACCTGTTCTTATTTATTATCAGATGATTTCAGATACTAAGTCAATAAGTTGCCCAAGCTGGGTTCAAAACTTTCATTTCTCCTGCCTCAGCCTCACAGATACTGGGATTACAAGCTGGAGCCACTATGCCTGGCTAGAGTATTTTGCTTTTGAAATTTTGTTGGTTTGTTTAACATAATGTAATAAACACCTATTTAATGCTCCTCCCAAACAGAACATTGCCATTATTGTAGCCTGTACCCTTGCAGTCCTCCTCCAACCCATCCCTCAGTTAACCCCCTCACATCTTCACCTCCGTCACCGTTGTCCCAATCACTAGCTCCCTCCTGGACCATGACTGGTTTTGTTTTGTTTTGTTTTTGGTACTGGGGGTTGAACTCATGTCCTTGCTTTTGCAAGGCAGGTAGCAGAACCACTGAGCTAAATCCCTGGCCCCTATGACTTTTCCATGAGAGTTTTCTAAAGTTAATTCTTTTTTTTTTTTTTTTGTCCCAGGGATCGAACTCTAGTCCTTGTGCTTATAAGGCAAGTGGTAGCAACACTGATCTAAATCCCCAGCCCTCTAAGGATAATTCTTTTTTTATTTGTTTGTTTGTTTGTTGTTTTTGTTGTTTTTTGGTACCAGGGCTCGAACTCGGATCCTTGCGCTTGCAAGGCAGGCCACCGAACCACTGAGCTAAATCCTCAGCTCTGTTTGTTTGTTTTTTGAGACAGGGTCTCACTATGTAGTTGAGACTGACCTGTAATTCACTATGTAGCCCAGGCTGCTCTCGAACCCACAGTGATCCTCCTGCCTCAGCCTCCCCAGTGCTGGGATTATAAGTGTGCAACCCCATGCCCGGTTTAAGATTAATTCCTAAACCTAAGATCTAGCATCACATCAGCTTACTTCTGGTGAATTAACATATCTTTGAGAGCTGTAATTATTTCGTTAGGTAACCATAATTTGATTTCAGGAGGAAAGATCTTAAAATGTGTATATATGATAATTAAAGTACCCAGATACAGAAATAACTCAAAAACAATGAGTTTTGTTATAGACATTCTACATTCAATGAAGCAGGCAAAACCAATAAGAATGAGAGGATTTTCTACACAATTTTTGAAAACCTTTTACTTTTATGTTACATATTTACTTATGGATTGATTTTTTTGTTTCAAAAAGTCTGTGAACTTTGTCTTTAAGAGTTTTTTTTAAGGGTCAGGGATGTAGTTCAGCAGTACTGTGCCTGCCTGGCAAACACACGGTCCTGACTTCGATTCCTGGTACCAGGAAAATAAAAAGAGTCTTTTTTAGCTAAGCATGAGTGGCCCGTGCCTATAATGCCAGTTATGCAGGAGTCTAAGAAGGATTGACACCAGCCTGGGCAACTTCAATCATGTCTGAAATAAAATAAAAAGGTCTGGTGAGGTAGCTCAGAGATAGACCATTTGCCTAGCATGCAGTTCAAAAGTCTTTCTGTAGAAGTTTTTTCAGATGCACCTGGGCAGGCCATAATTTTCTTTGTCCCCTAATTCTGGATGTTTTCACTCCACTGAAGTTAGCTCCTTAGGCAGAATGTTTAATGAAAATTATGAACTTATTTTGCCCTCTCCCTAGAATTCTTTCGGTAGACTTTGTTAACCCCAGTTTCTATAAGAGGTTTAACCATTTTCAAATATTTTATCTGCCTTGAGCACATATCTGAGAGGATTATTGATTTTTACTAGATAAGTAGTATCCTAATTTTACAGTCCCTTGCTGGGCATAGTGGCACATACCTGTAATCATAGCCCTTGAGAGGCTAAGGAGGGTCGCTGCAAGTTCAAGGCTAGCCCAGGCTACCTAGTGAGTTCAAGGCCAGCCTGAACTACGGAGTGAAACCCTGTCTCCAAAAAAAAAAAAAAAAAAAGTCATGTGCCAGCAGTAAAGGGGCCATATTGATAGGTGACCTGAGAGAGGTACAGGGCAAGAAGCAAATTCAGAGGAGTGGTAGCACAGGGCTGATGGAGTATGACACCAGCCCCTGTGTGTCCCCCATGGTCCATGGAGCTGAGAAGCCATGCTGAGTCTCTACTGGGCTCTGCTACACCACAGCAAAGAGATCCACTACATTGATTGACACTTCTACTTTGCCTCCATCCACTGTGAGTTCCAGAAAAATCAGAGGCTCTTAGAAGATCCTGAGGCCCGGCTGAAGCATCTGGAGAGGGGCTGGTCTTCCTCCACAGCAAATCAGGGGGGCTTGTTTAGGATCCTCTCCTTCATTCTTGCACCCAGCCTGAAAGGAAAGAGGACAAAGATGCCTTCTGTGGACACTTCTACTCTCTCCCACCTCCACCTCCCAGATGCATTAAGAAGGCTCAGGTGAGCAATGGCAGGAGCTGGTGAGTACAAAAACAAGAATGACAGTGGCATTGGCACAGCAATTGATTTTTGCTCTCCAGCACCCAGCTGGTGCTGGAGGTAGGTGGAGAAGCCATTCTCAGCATCGCTGCACTGGTGGTTAAACAGATGTATGGTTGGGCATACTTGCTTGAGCCATTCAGGGAAAAGGAGCTGGGAAGAACTAAATTGGATGAGCTCCCCACAAAAACTGAGCAAAGACATGGAGACAGGCCTGAGCCTAAGCCTGAGCTGGTCCCTGCAGATCCTTCTCACAGACTCTTCGGCCTTTAACACAGATACCTTCTGCCCACCTTGGCCCAAGCCATTCGCCAGGAACTGCCAGGTAGACTTGAAGAACTCACAAGTTTGCATGTCCCTGCAGGAGAAATTACTAGTACCGGAACTGGGCAGCCATCCCTAGCAGAGAGCAGGCTCGGGCCAAGCAAGCTGCCATGGACGTATGCGCTGAGTTCCAGAGCTTCTTTGGGCCAAGCTGCCTGACACGCTACTTCAGGACGTGTATTTGGCAGCCTCTGTGATGACCTGCAGGTGGTGACAGCTGACCATATCCAACTCATCATGCCCTTTGTGTTGGAACAGAACCTGTGGTCTTGCATCCCTGGTGAGGACACTATCATGAATGTCTCTGGCTTCCTCATGGTTCATTGTGAGAGCCCAGAGTACTTTCCTCATGGCAGCATGTGTACTGGGACCTTGTGTATTGTGTAGCAGGAGGCTGCCTCTCCCTAAAGACAGTGGAAGACACATATGAGAAGGTAATGGCTGGCTCCATCAGATGGCAAACCACAGGGCCCCTCTTGGACTATGTGATCCAACCAGCACCGCCCTCAGCAGCCCTGACATTAGAAGTGCAGTATGGGACAAACATCTCATCATTGACTTCTTGCCATCAGTGACCCTTGATGACACTGTCTTGGCCAGACCACACCTGCTAGCCCAATATGACAAACTACGATGGCTGAGCCTGTGTCCAGCCAAGACATCATGCCTGTGGACTTTGGACCAAGCAGGCTTGGGCTGCCAATCTCTGTGCCTCAGGATTCTCAAAGCCATGTGCAAGTCCACCCAAGCTCTGGGCCACCACACTGCCAGCCAGCTAACCAGTGTCATCCTCCACTTGGCACAGGAGGAGGCTGACTGGTCACCAGACATTCTGGCCAATCGTTTCCTGCAGACCCTGAAGGGACTTACCTGGTACTTAGAGGCTGGAGTCCTGACCAGTGCCCAAAACTTATTTGCAGAGCTCATTCCTGAGGAAATTGATGAATTGGAATACACTATTACTCCTTGTCTGAGCTGGAGGTGCTGCTGCTGACGTAAGGCAGGTGAAGACCAAAGCATCTGTCTGTTGGTCAGGTCCAGGATTCTCCATTAGAAATACATGGCTACATAGTTGGTGCCTCTCAGGGTCGCTAGGTGCCTCCTTTTGCTGGTCATCATCCTGGTCACTTCATGCTAATTAGATTGACATCTCTTTGGTCCCCTATTTTCTTTCCCAGCCCTTTCTATATTTGTTATTAAACACTGTGCTCTTGGGCTGGGGATTTAGCTCAGTGGCATCTCACCTGCCTCGCAGATGTAAGGTTCTGAGTTTGATCCCTGGTACAAAAAAAAAAAAGATCAAAACTTTGTGCTCTCTACATACCCTCCTTGGTCTAAGCTGATTTTTCTGAAATGAACTGAGAAGCTAGAGCGATGGCTTGAGCTGTTGATTCATTCCACTTGGTGTTTTGCACCAAGTTTACTTTATCTGCCCTACCCTGCCATTTTACCCCTTCAGTGTCTTTTCCTCCTTTTGTTTCATGCCTATTGTTTCGCTCTTGTCCCTAGAGCATAACTGCCTAATCATGATGTTGCCTTTTAGCTTAGTATCACAGAAGAGCTGTAATTACACGATTTTAAGGTGAATTCTGCAGTTTGAGCTCTGAGACAGTATTTAGGATTTCTAGGGATGAGGCTGATGAAAGAGCTGGTCTTTGATCCTGGTTCCTAGAAAACAAGTCTGTCTCCCCACTCCCTTAACCAACTATTCATAAATGCCAAGAACATTTCTCCTGGGGGCATTGTTAGTGACTCACACAGGACAGACAGGATACAGAATTATTTGGAGTTTTTATTTTTTAGTGGCCATCAGTGAGTGCACAGGGGGACCAGGAGCTGGTTCCTAGGGCCTGGTGGAGAGCCTGCATGCTGTCTGCATGTCATCTGTGGCTGCCAGTTACACAGGATGGCAGCTTCAAGGACATACCTCATGTGGATGCTGGTTTCATCTCTTGCCTTTTTTATTGCCAATAGGACAAGGCTTTGTAGGAACCCAGGCTTAGCAGTAGAGGCTGAAGGGCTGGAAAACTCAGTTATCATGGTTTCTCCTCTAAAAGACCCTGCCTTTCTAGGATGTTGGCTTAGAGCAAGAACAGGCCCAGAGGCCAGCTGTTGTCCCCATGTCTCCCATGTCTGCCACAGCATTGGGAGAAGGGTGTTTGCCGAGTTCTCCTGGTACCTACAGAGACCAAAGGGCAGGTAAACTGCACAGCCCTCTTTCCCCTCGTCCAGTCTCTTACCTGGCACTTGGGGAGATTGGTGCTACCCAGGAAGAGAGAGCACATAGATAATAATTCACAAGAAAGGAAGGTGGGTACTCCCCACATTCCTTCTTGGTTCCTGCTGCTGAAAACTGCACTATTTATGGCAATGTAAATGTATCCTGAGGGTGGGGAGGAGTGTTTAATAAAAAAAAAAAATTATAGTCCCTCAACATTCATAGTCCTGACCCTTTAGGTGAGAGCAAGTAATTATTTTGCTTAGATACAAACGCAAATAGCAAATGTATGGAGATAGCAGGAGTGAATCAGGCAGACTCATCTCCTGAATTCCACTCCACTCTTCTCATCGCATCTTTTTTTATTTTTTTAATTTTTTTTTGCTACCAGGGATTAAACTCAGGACCTTGTGCTTGCAAGGCAGTGAAACCACTGAGCTGAATCCCAAGCCTTCATCTCATCTCTTTTTATAGCTCCATAAGGAGAAAAGTCTGTGCTGTCATGGTGTTCACAAAATTGAAGACTTGTTAAAAAAAAATTGAGGACTTTATAAAGTTATCCCTATTGGAAGCCAAGGGTTATCTATGTGGTTTATGACTGCAAGGGATCTAGAAGAAGGCTCTCAGGGTGTGGCTGCATATACCTGTAATCCCAAGGCAAGAAGATCAAAAGTTCAAACCCAGACTGGGCAACTTCATGACTTAGTGAGACCTTATTGCAAAATGAAAAATAAAGAGCCAGGGTTGTAGTTCAATGCAAAAGGTCCCGGGTTCAATCCTCAGTAACACACACACACACACACACACACACACACACACACACACACACACAC